TCAGGGCTGTCCACATTATCCCCCCCCCCCCCTGGTGTCTGCTTGCTCATCCGAGTGCCCTTGTTTTAAGGGCTTAGAATCTCGAGGAACGCTCACCCTTTTTAAAACTGATTTTAATAGAATGGATGAAATGTATACCAAACGTATAAAAAAGATAAAAAGCATTATAAACGACCCATCACACCCCTTTTCGACACAAATTGTAAGATCACGCAGCAGCAGATATGTACCTCCAAAAACAAAGAACGAAAGATATAAAAGAAGTTTTTTTACCATCTAGCATAAGGCTTTTGTCAAAACGAGCATAGATGGATGTTGCTCTTAGAGTATGTATCTGTATATAACTCCTAAGGTCTAGTATTTGAATTCCTGCATGTGGTTGAATGATGCATTTGGTGTAAATGTACATTTTGTCAGCTTTACTTCTCCTTTCATATTGAATTTTAATGAGAGTAATATAATACATACTTTACATTTTTTATGTATACCTGCATGTGTTTTACGGTCCTGTACAGTCAAGGAAAATTTCCCTCTGGGATAATAAAGTACTCTCTTATCTTATCTCATCTTATCTTGTGCATAAATATTAGTTTGTGTTCTACTAGTAGTAGTTCTGTAAAAAAAAAAAAGAAGTAAATTAAAGCACATTTGAAAATCTTAAAAATGCTGTGCTCCCAACACTGCCATGTAACCAACTGACCTCCCCCTTCCCCCCTCCCCCTTCCCCGTAAAGTTGCACATAGATACACAAGATACAAAAATAAAAGCTAAAAGCTTCAAAAGGTTGTCTTTAATATTTTAAAAAAAACCTCGACTGACTCCGATTTTGTTCTAACCCGCAGGGAGGTCATGGAGGTGTACTCGGGGGTTTTCCCTGAAGTCCGAATCCAGTCCGACTGCCGATGTCAGGGAACGTATCTGCGAGTCAAACCGGACAGTACTCACTACTGTATGCAAAACGGGATGCCCGAAGGTTCAGATCAAACAACTCTTAGAATCTCGAGGAACGCTCACCCCTTGCAGTACATCAATGATGGGGACAGTAATAGTATGTGGATATCCAGTTTTCAAAATGAAGTGGAAATTGAGGTGGACCTTGGTGATCAGTTTCAGGTAACTAAAAAAAGTTAAGGTCTTAAAACAAACATTGCGTGCCTACTGCTGTAAAATACAACTTAGCAATAAATAAATAGATAGATAGATAAATAATTAAATGAATAAATGTTCTTACTACAATCTTGCCCCACAGACGTGTAGGCCTTCTTTTGATTAAATCTATTTAAACATACATGGTATAATACAGTTCAACGCCTTAGCCTACGACCTAGTTCATTACCCCACAAGAGGGCAATAGGATCTAGAGCATTGTCGGCAACCTTTTCGGCCAAATTATAAGTCACATCGGGACGAGAAAGCCCATTAGTTCGGGGGGAAAAACACCCAAGAAACTGATGTCCAAGAGAAGATTTTATATAATTTAATTTGTAAATGACAGTAAGCCTAATGACAATTACAACTCTTGATTATAGGCCATAGATATCTAGGCCTACATACATTATGTACTTGACCATGATTTGTTAAAATATGCATGGATCGTTAGCAACAGTAATAGTAACAATTTCTGTTAGGGCAATTACAATTTAATAGCATAATTACGAGTTTTACAAATTCAGTCGAACCTGCCATGATAGCCTCCTGTATAATGCAGCCACCTGTACAGATGACCACCCCCCACCCCCTTGCGTTTTCTATATAATTCAATTGTATATAATTCAACGGTCACATGTCCAACGCGGCCGCGGCCACCTCATTTTATTAACACAAAGTGGTCAGAGCCAAATTGACTAGCCTGAGGCGCACAGGCGAAGTCTCGAATCGCCCCAATGCTTTGTCATAAATTCTAAATCGGCCTCTGACGCTGTGGGTGGGCCGTCATAATCCATACACCTGTCGTTATTGGTAGTCCCTCCAATGAATGTTTACCCAAGTTGACCAATGGGTAACCATACATTTTCAACTGCTGGTGAGGGAAGCGTGTGATCCGTCGTAAGCCGTCTATTATCCGTCATAAGCCGTCTATGATCTGTGTATAAGCCCCGCCCACATCCCATACACATACGCGAAGTCACTGTTTTGTTTACCTAATCTGTGACAAAGTAAGAATGGACGTTAACGTGAACTAGCGATTAAAACGTTGCTCGTTTCTGAGTGGAGGCGACCCAGTGTTTGTTTTACCATGGCACTGGGTCTTCATTGTCTTACATACTTTATTTTATCCTTGCACAAAATCAGCAACAAAAAAGCTAACAAGAAAACTAAACAAACCAACCAACCACCACCACCACCAACAACAACAACAGAAAAGCCCCTTCTTCCTCCCCTCCACCCTCCCCCCATGTTCAAAAGAAAGCAAAAAAAATAAAACTTTTGAATTTGCCCTAGGCAATCTTAAGCCTAAAATCAGCCCCGGTTTGGTTAGACCTCCTAAGTGAATGGTTTGTTTTCTTCATTTTGACCAATTGCCGAAAACGGCCACCAGTGTTATACGGCCACTTTTCTCCTTGACAGTGGGTGACCGTTTTACACAGGTTCGAATGTACTCGCAAAAGTCATTTGCTCCCCTCCCAATTAATTCTCACTCTCTCTCTCTCTCTCTCTCCCTCTCTCTCT